CCTATCTCTAAAGTAAACAGTTAGATTGTGAATGACGAAATAGATCGACATTTACAGAACTCATTGATGATGATGATGATTATTATTATCATTATGAACAATATTACTAGTGGAATAAAATCACTTCAGGAGTTAAATTAATAATACTGCCTTTAGTATCAGGTAGTCAAAGAAATGGGAAAAATCTCTGATCAAACTAGATCACAGCGTCGATTAATTGAAAGTGATATTCGCCGATCAAGTACTGTAGTTATGCTACAAGATATTCTTCTCTTTTTGATTGGCCAATCTCAACTTGAGAGAGGGAATTAAAGATGTAGCAGGCTGCATTAAAATTACAATTTGTCCATGATATTCCGCACAGATATCGAGTGACTGATTGTGACAAAATTCCAAAGTCAATCATGATATCAGACGATGCAAAGGTGATGAGAAATACCCTTATTTTCACTCTTATGAATAAAATAATGGATAGGAAAGGATTTCGCCAATGATTCATCACGGCATATTATTAACAATAAGTTGAAAATATATCGCGATACACTCTTATTAACGAGGCTACTCTACCGATGAACAAACAAACGGCCCTGAATCAATATTGTCAATAAAGGTGAAAAGTATCGGCAAAAAAAAAAGAAAATGTATAACTTAGCAGCATTGACGACACAGAAAAATTACGATGGAAACTTTTTGAATGACAGTTTCACTTCTTCCATGTAGATAAAGTCAATTTAGAAAATATTATCTTATACTTTAATACCATTTCAAGATTTACTAACCTGCACCAGGGCAGCGTATTCTTGCTTTTCTTACTGTATGGTTGAAAAGTAGCAAGGAGAGAGGGAAAAAGTATTGGAAGAAAAAGCATAAAGAGGAGAAAAAAAATGAAATTAGTCGTTTAAGCGGATGTTATTATCGAGTAATTTATAATGGCAATACAAAATCGATAGCCAAAACAGACAAAAAGTGCCAACAAAAATCATCTTTTAGTCTTATATTTAATGTACTTCACAGGGGATAAAAATACTAAGCAGTAGTTAAGACTACTCTACGAGTTCAGCAACAAATGCATTTCCCATGATAAAATAATTCCTGCCGAAATGGCCGTCGATATCAGTAAACGATAGACGAAGAAAATATCATCTATCTTAGATATTTTGAATGGTCATTAGTTATAACAACTATTCAATTTTTTCTTAGTAAACTCCTCTTAACCAGCAGTAGGACAATATTCAAGACATATAATTTTTGTCACGCTAGGCAAATACATTAATATACAAAGATAACTCTTAGGCTTGCTTTCAAATTTGTTTTCTTTATTATGTACAGAAATGGAGAAATTATCTTTCTACAAGATTAGATAGCAATGGGCTATTGTACGTGGAATACTGCAAGGAAGAGCTTTGGAACGACAGACAGTATCCTATTGGAAATTTGTAGTATTATGACAGAGCATAACATCAAACTAGATGTTTCATTTACTCTCCCTCTTTCAAGAATTTCCCTAGTGTTCGTCTTGGGTTAGCGCTATCACATCAGATTCTTATTCATGATGATCAAATGGATGACAACTCTATTCCAATGGATAGAAATAGCGAGCATAGTGCAAGATATTCACTACACCAACTGGATACAAAAACCGAGATTTTTTTCTCCCCCTCATTTCATTAACTGCATTTACTAAACGTCGCTCTTTTCCTTATTAATTGTAGTTCAAATCTATTGTATCGGTAAAAGATTACTGCATGCAGTACAGTGCTATGAAATAGAGGAAGAACATGATTCAAGTTGATTTGTAGTGTAAGCCATTTCATAATCGATGGCATTTATTTCTGTAATGGATGACAATTTCCATTTAGGTAGAAAGTCCTTCTTCGACTATCGAATTTATGGAAAGATAGAATGACAAGTATACTGAATAGGCTTAAAGAAGAAGACAACTGCTTGGAATAATGTAGAAGTTTATTTTTAACCATGTTGTTTGGTTTTATGACGATGATGATGAAATGACATTTATCCAAGGTAAGACCATCACCTTAATCTAGTATCTCAGGGTAGCTACAGTCTTTCTTTATCATGGTAGTTCAATCAGAAGACAAGGTAACATTATCAAAATAAGAAAAGTTGATCGGAAAAGCTTACTAAGTATAACGACTGATTCATGTCCATTTCGATTCTTTCCAATTCAATAACATCACGCTTCCACAACTGGGCACAACAGTACCCTCATGATGACTCAATTCGGTGGTAGTTGAGACTGATAGACTACGCCTAGAGTGTTCTATTTTGTCAGTTTGATTTAATAACTTGGTAGATAACTAGTACAAATGGACTCTTCCATCGAACATTCTAATACGTTGATATCCAAATTGATTATCGATGAACAAAGTTTACTTCATCATGTTCCTTCATGATTAGCAGTCGTAGTACGATATCGAATAATAAAATGAGAAGGATCGATCGGTTGGATTTCGATAGTATTGTGTATGGAAATGATTGCATGGACAAGATGGAATCAATCCACTTGGTTTAAAGGTCTATGCCATCGTATCATCGATATCCCTGTTAAAGTGTTGTACAAGTTCGCGTCTATTTGAATAGAAAGAAATAGCAAACATGACGACATCAAATTTGCTGTCTGGAGTACGGCGATGCTAAGTTATTGGGGCAAGAACATTATCTTATCCCTTTCTTTCTATTCATCGTCATGGTACAGTATGATGAGTAATGGATTGTAGTTGGCTTAACATGAAGACGATCAATGAAAAAGATATGGAAAGGGGGGAAAAAAAAATTGCTCATGTACTGTACTATAACAGACGAGAAAGGATCCCAATTGGACAAGTGAATATAATTAGGACGATAGCATCGCCAACGATCAACACTATCCACAGTAATCAATTTAAGAGAACGAAAGTAGATGAATTTGTAGCTGATGATGATCATGAACTGGAGTCCGTTACGACACTGTATTATCATCCAGTATTGACCGTGGAAAATTTGATGACCACTACAGATATGGAGATATTGGATCATCACCTTGAAAGCTGAATACAAGATACATACCTCGAATGCAAAGTAAGGACATGATGATAATGTTGCGGCTGCTATCAACTTGGATATCCAAGGCACAATTAGACGAGGGCAGAAATAGTGTCCTTAGCCACAAGACATTCTAGCCATTGATCAAGTCGCTCCGATGTAAATAAATTGCAAAATAAAGTGTTCTAGACGATTGTGTTACTTTATCAGTTGGTAATTGACCTGCAGACTGCAGTTGATATTGTCCCGTCTCTACCGTCCAGTACATTACAATACTGTACAGCTAAAAAAAGAAAGAAAAGTCTGTAGCACCATAGATAACGGCGTCTGGCCTGTCTGCCTCCCTACAGTGTACACTGTACAGTACAGTGATGTACTGTACACTGTAGGGTTTGTACAGCAAGGCAAAATACACACAATACACTTTTTTATTCTGCCTGCCTTTCTGTTTGGACAGTATACGTATGTACTGTACAACCATGTCTGCTTGATTTTACTCTTTAAATATTATATTTGTGTAGGCAGGGCATACTGTACAGTACAGTAGATGTAGACGTTTACACTTTCTTATTCTGCCTACCTTTCCATTTAAATAGTATACTGTACGTACAATTAGACCTAGTACAACCATGTTCATACTTTGCTGCTTGATTTTACCTTCAATTATATTTGTGTAGGCAGGGCATAACAGTACGGTAGATGTAGACGTTTACACTTTCTTATTCTGCCTGCCTTTCTATTTGGACAGTATACTGTACATACTACCATGTTCATACTTTGCTACTTGATTTTACTCTTCAATTATATTTGCGTAGGCAGGGCATACAGTACGGTAGATGTAGACGTTTACACTTTCTTATGCTGCCTGCTTTCTACTGTATTTAAACAGTATACTGTACGCACTACTATGTTCATACTTTGCTGATTGATTTTACTCTTCAATTATATTTGTGTAGGCTGGGCATACAGTACAGTAGATGTGGATGTTTACGCTTTCTTATTCTGCCTGCCTTTCTATTTAAATAGTACTAGTGCAAACTAGTATAGTAGTACAGTAAGTACAACTGTACAAATTTCTTACTACTCTGCGCACTGTACTGAAATAAAACCATGGTTATTCTATAAATTGCTCTTCATTGCTTTCTAAAACTCCCAGCCAGCATTCTACAACGTTGTGCTACTCAATAACGACAATACCATCTAAGCTCACGATGCTTTATTAATTTATTCTGTCTTTGAGAGAATGCACACAGTTATTAGTCATAAGCTAATGAAAATATAAAGACGCTCATTCGTGCTGGATTCTAGTTCTTAAACTGAACAGATCGCATCAAGTGATTCTATTCAATCACTTAGAATCAAATCTTATGCGGTCGGAATCAGTAATAGTAAAATGGTCCAAATGTACAGTACAATATACTATAAACAAATACAAATAAAGTTAGCAAAATAGAGAGAATGCAGAGGTCATAACATCACATATCAAAACCGAAACGCAGTCAAAAATGCTGACGTCATTGCAATTGCAGAATATGCTAATAACGCTTGTGATCTGTTCATAGAACACGTATCTGGCACTTAATCATCACTATGTTGCACTGTGAAATTAATTCACAGCGTGTTGACGCCATATTTCGAACATTTTACTCGTGCACTAATAAGTACGACTCGAGTATCTTTTGCATAACAAGCACAGCAGAGCAAAGGCACAAGGAGTTCAATGTCGACAAAAATCGTAGCAAATGGCAAAAATGTTGCAAACTACAATTTTACTTTTAAAACTTGTGATAGAATCGTTCAATTTTCCAATTTAAAAAGACATTTACAATTACTTCAAGTATTATTGTCCGAAATATATCATATTGTAATAATGGCCAGTCCAGCAATCAGTAAAATTTTTACATTTTCCACAAAATAAACGTCTTTCCTTAAAATGCCAGTCACAAATTTGCGTCCTATTAAACTAAAGTTGACGATGGCCCAGATCGTCGTCGGCTACTCCTAGATGAATTGCTAATATTTGGACTTCGAGAATTTCCAGATCTTCGACTACTGCTGTTACCACCATTATTGGCTTCCTCAGAAGGACTACCTTCAGCGAGATTCAATCGGCAGACAGGACAAGTGCCATGCTGTAATATAAGTAAATCAAACATAGTGAAATAACATTTAAGAAGAATCAATCACTATTATTTCAAGTAACTTACCCTTTGTAACCATTGTACAATACATTGTGAGTGAAAGTAATGCTGACATGGCAATTTTCTCGCAGTATCTTTCACTTTAAACTCTTCTTTGCATATTGGACATTCACTGTTTGTTTCTAGTTACAAAAAGAAAGAAATTATAATTAGTATACCAACTATGCAAAAAATCAAAAGTACGTACGGCACGGATGCTCTAGGAATTCATGCTGTATAGATCAATATTTTACCCAAAATTTCACTGGTTATGACTTCGTGAGGTAGATCATCGATGATCGATTTCTTTGCAGGAGGAGGACCACTACTGTCGCCAAGATTCGATAGAAACTATAAAATAGAAAGATTAATTAGTTAAGACTTACTTTACACCAATACATGACAGTATGTAAATCGATTTTTGAACCAACATCAGCTACAAGGTAATCATCTTGTCTTTCACAATACCAACTTAATAATAAGTTACCCAATAATCAATTAGGATCTACAATATTACTCGCCAATACGTATATAACATTACCTGCGAAATAATATCATCTAAACCACCCCTTCCCCACGCATAGTCTCCTGGGCTGGAGTGTAAGTTAAATAGAGCATTCCTACAAAACACACAATATATTTTAGAGAATAGAGTCAAAAATCATATTTATAATCTGGAATATTTACAATGGTCGCTGTAGAAAGGCGTTTTCCGATCCGGATTCATCTGAATTGAAATAAAGTAAAGCACAGCGTCAGTAAACGAGGATAAATAGGAAACTAAAAATAATACAAGATATTTTACATGATCCTAAAGCTTACCATGGTTGTCTGCAGATATCGATTGAAGCAATCCTTGGATAAGGCTAGATTGTATAGAAAAGTAATAGATAATACTAAGTCACCACATAAAATATCTTCACAATATAACTACAAGGCAATCATGTACAGTAATAGTAACTCCGTTTGATAAAGTATAATATTACAGTAAAAGTCCTCTCAGAAAACTCCTACATTTAACACTTAATGACGATGGCCAATAAGCATAAAATGCACATCTAAAGTTAACCTTTCAAGGCGAACAGTCGTAGTTCCTGACTGTCCAGGTGATCCTTCGAAAGTTTGCGAGCCACGTGATCGACGAGAGTTAGACCGTAGATTTAATCGATGCGGAAAGTTGACTCCAAAGGCTGATTCATCTAGAGCATCATTCAAAGTGTCAATAAAGTACATCTCGTAAAATGGCTTCCACTTAACATGGCGCGTATAAAGCGAGAGAACAGTACAATCGTAACAACGCAAAATTTAAGCCATTACTTAGTATATTAATAATTATTGTTACGATGACTGTGTACTAGGGAGGTAAAGGGTTCTCACAGGATATGCAAACACCCTTTCTATCATAGAAATAGGGACCTTTATTCCTTCAAAGCACTAATGTAGCTCAAACTACCTGTGTAGTCACAATTCCTCGTGACATTCGCCAAGAACTCCTTTTATAGTCTACTCATAATGCACCATAAGATAATATGCTACATATAAAACTGTATTATACAATACTATTATTATAAATAGTGTTACGTTATATCAGGTAACTGTCAGAACATAGCAGTACGATTAGATGCATGTATCAATTATATTTTGACTTATACATATTCACAGCATAGAATGTAATAAAACTTTCTAAAAGTACAACTTATAACTCTAGCATAGCGCTAGCAGTTCAATTCACGGAGCTATTTCATTGCTGACACTACACAGAATACATACCTTCTGATTCATCTGCAGAATCATCGGTATTGTTTTCAAGAGCACCACGCCAATACTATCAAAGAGAACAATTCATAGTTAACATACATGCAGATGTAGAAATTTAAGATCTGGATATATGATGTACTTACTGAGAGAAAGTTTATATTTTCATTATCAACTGATACGTCACTTCTAAGAATCAAGGAATTCGAAAATGAACAATTATTAATGACGTAGATCATACATTATATTATGTTTAATAATAACAACAGCTACTAAAATTATCTAATTATACTATTTAACGCTGTGGTATGCAAATTTAACAACGTTCGTAAAGTTACGTTGTTTCCATCATGCAAACCAGCAAGTGCAGCCCATTAAGGATCAAAGGGACATGAAGTAATCAAACATTTTCTTCGATCACTTTTCTCACTGAAGAGTCGGAGCTCGCATTCATACACTAATAACATAACATCTTCCTTACATAATATCTTCAACTTTGGCGTCGCCTTCTAACTGTTCAACAAATCCTCCACCACATTGCGGACATAAATTACTCTGTTCAAACGTCGTAAATCACAAATGTTATAAAATTTTATGAAATAAGACAAATCTAAGCTTATATCATATTTCAGTGTCTATGAGAATAAAGGCAATTTTCGATCTATGTTGTATATAGTAGTCGTTTACGAGAAGCAGTATTGAACAGAATTAAACCAGCATCAACTATTCCGCTCGCATGATTAATCACTAAGAAAACGCATAAATCTTCATGAAAGAGTTTACAAACTAAGTCTAATACGCGTATACTGTAGACATATGATGTATTTTCAAAGTTCATACTGTACCAATCAATTCCTAATTTCTGACATGACGTGATAAAATAGATGCAATTAAAGGTCGTTCTAATTGGATAGAAGGCTAGAAGTAGACACTCTTGGCGTCTATCCATAGGTGGGAATAACACTAAAGCAAATTACCGTGCCGTTCGATTTTTTATTTTTATTTCTTTTACAGTAAAGTGTACAGTACATAATACCCTGCTTTACAGTACATGATACTGTACTGTAGCCGCACCGATAGAGCCTTATCATACTGGTGTTGTACTGTATAGTTAAACAATACTGGTACGCACTGTAAATATCTATGGCATGATACAACAATTTTTACAGCGGTTATAAATAAATATAATGGACGATTAAAAACGTTGCATCAATGTCTATGACTGCGACTTGCCAGTGTATATATATATATATATATAGTACAGTAACATATTGACCGTAACAATTTTGACAAATGTTGATGTAGAGTTAACCCGATATTCAAACAAATATTTAAGGCAATGTTGTTAATTAAATTTATGGATACTGTACATCATTCGTGAGCGTCTCATCTATTTCTCACCATAACTAACAATTTGTTCATAAACTTGCAAAGAAAGAAAGTTCCCTACGCCAACTACTATTCTGAAGTTTGTACGTAAAATTGTAGGACTACTTGTATATCTTTTACGTACTACTAGCGTAGTCCTAACTCAACATGTAAATAAAATTACAAATTAAGCATCTTTTCCTTGTTCCGATGGTTCAGTGAAAGATTGAGCTTAATATTGTATCTATTCCAGTTTTAAAGTAACGATGTATTTAACAGTGATGATTCAATAAACACAGCGGTAATCAATGAAGCCAAAACAGAGGATATGAAGGGAAACGGTGTAAACATCCAAGTATCATCTGATCACAGTATCATCTGATCACATCTATAGAAAAGTAAAAGTACTGTACAGTACAGCACTATAGTCCATGTACTGTCCAGTACCGATACAGATGCCGTTACTCTTTCACTGTATCGCGCACTTGTACAGTGCACAGGATGGCACCAAGCGCACTACAGTAAATCAGTAGTGTATTTCCTCTTTACGACAGTGAACTTAAAATAAAATAATATAATTCTTCCTTTCAGATATAATTAGAAGGTGCAATCGCTTTAGTTATCTAATATAATTCTGTAGTCACTTTCAGTAGTAGTAGTGAATAATAATAATCAGTAGATAAACAGCGAAAAGTGCTTAGGAAAGCGATCTAGTCTATACTACATATACTGTATCTGCACTGTATAACGTCATTTGATTATAGTAAACATGTACGTTGCACAGTATCGTAGTTAAGAGTAGCCTGCAGCGCAATGTGTTGGTTGTGTTGCAATATTTCTAAAGTCAAAATTGGATTTATTAGCCTATAACTGATTTAGTCGTCCTCTTTCATGTGTAACATACGAACTTCAAATAGATTTTAGGTTTTATATAAGAATTTATACGACTAAACATCTCATTTTATTTTACTGTAACATACTATGCACTTGTACCAGCAACGACAAATCAGTCGTGGGGACAGCTATAAATCACAAGTAGTTTAATAGGTGAATAAGAATTGCTAATTGCCGCATCATCTACCTTTACGTATGTTGAGATTGTTTCAGTTTTGCAAGTAGTGTACAGTACGGACTATACACTTTCAAAACAAAATGCATGGAAATTATAGCCCATTATTATTTTTAATTAATTACAGTAAAACACTATCGAATGGTGATGGCTGCATAGCGTTGATGGACTCACCTGCGATTTGGATGAAACTTCCTCTTGACAGTTGTAACAGAAATAGCGCGTGCTTGGCACATCTTCTACCGTCGCTTCCGCCATTTCTATACACTCAATTTCGTATACAAGAAAGCAGTGTAGTATTGATATTCGGCAACAATTTTATCAACAAGGTAATGGCGATCAATCGCAATGCCTTTAGCTTTCGTTGCGCGAATGAAAAAAACAAGAAAACTAGTTTTTGTAGCGCAATAAGCCTGAAGATACAGCGATACTCGTTAACCGTTTGAAAGGTTGCAGTACTGCAGTGACTGTACTCGTGTGCTGTGTATCTTTAGGGTCCAGATCATGAACTCATATACAGTACAGTACTGTAGTGTACAAGTGTACATGTACAGTATGATACTTACTACCGCACATTAGTATGTACTGTACCGTGATATGACATCAGAGTGTACAGTACTGTACACACAGTACAATTAAAGCAGCGTGCAGTACTGTACACTGTACCGTCATACAGTACTGTAGCACAGCAGTAGGAAAATGTTTTGGAACAGTAAATGTACAGTACATACTGTACACTACAGTACTGTTTTGTACTGTAGCTCTTGGTACTGTACACTGTACACTCACGGATCTGCTGTACTAGTCTGTATCGGGGTTTTCAAAAATAGAAATCATCGTCATTCGATTCCAAGTGAGTAAAGTACAGTAAGGGTTTCTAGAGTATAGTATCTCCGTCAGCGAAGCGACAGGACGTTATTTGAGCCTTCTGGCCACCGTAAATAGGAGTCTAGTGCTGAACGATGTGCTTGATTTTACCCTATTTGAAGAAATCCACACCAGCAGAATATCTCCACTCAGGATAGCACATCATTAGAATTTGATTTGCTACATATATTATATACAGCATACAGTATACTGTACTGTACTGTACAGTGGAACGTTTTTGTTATTTTCGAAATTACTGTACTCTACTCGGAAGCAACACAGAGCGAATAAATAAATAATTATTATAATCTAGACTCACAAACATTTCAAATAAAAAATGAGTAAGAACAAAGTGGCGCAAAGCGATTTTCTTTCTCATTTTGATTTAACGAACATCTGATTCAATGAGCTTTTGACCCGGTTTTCTTCTACACGTAATAGAGTTCATGGAAGTACAGGAAAAGGAAAGATTCTGGAGGTTTTTCCTTTTACATCTATCCATAATACTGCACTCAGGGACCACTCAACTTCTTTTTTTATAGTTTTTATGCTAACATAGGGACTAGTTTGGGACAGGAATATTCTAAACTAAGTATTTATTTAGTATGAAAAGTATAAAAAGAAGTTGAGTAGACACTGCTGTTTGGGCGAGAGTCGCTATGTTTTTACTGTACTGTACATTTTATTTCTTTCTGTAGCTATAGCAACCAAACTTGTCTACCAGTACACTACGTACGCTCTATTCTGCTCTGTAGTTTGTACAAATTAATAGCAGTATGAAATAGTTAAGTCATATACAGAATACTGTGCTAAACTTTACTGTAACACCTCTAGTGAGAAAGAATCCCTACGAGGATTGTTAATGGATTGTTTATTATGTTTAGTCGTACCATACAATGACTAAGTAATTAATACTACTACATACGCATCAACGCAGAGTGATTCCTGACTTTTTAAACTATTCATTAATTAAACGCGAAAAGGATAAATCAACGCCCTAACATTATAGCAGCAATATCCAGTATAGGATTTGATTTATACGTCCTACCAATAATGTGACATGATATCGACTTAACGACGGTTAGTACTTAACGTAGAAGAGAAAGAAATATATTCATATCAGCGTTGATCAAAAATTATAGTTCTTTTAAGTTACAATGTATAGTAAGTATACTATGTACTCATGAGTCAATTTTGACTCATTAACGCTCTATGAGAAAGAATTTGTTTACGTAATCTAGTGAGCAATATGCTATATCTTATAACCTCTAGAGATACGATTATTATAAGACCGATAGGAATTGTCAAACTAGTAATTCTATAGTTTACTAGAAAAATATTTTATACCTTTTAAAACGAGAAATTTTATAATCTTAGATTTTACAAGCTTATACTTTAGATTAATATTGGGATTTATTCTTATTTTATACTTATAGCATCGAATAACTGGCATGCGGTGAGTGAATTAGGACTATTATTACGACGATTTTTACGTCAGGTGTCAATCCCAATCAAAAACATTAAAGAGTATTAAGAACTGTAACGTTGATCGTAACAAAATCTATAACTGCAAATTTCAAGTGAAAAAATTGATAGAATATTGGATTATTGGATCTTTATTATAAGGACTGCAATTTTGGAATATGTGCAGCAATTAAGATACGTGCCATCGCTCTAATTTTATAATTATTCAGGAACATATATAGTTTATGTAATACTTGTAGTTAAAAATTATTAGGCAATTTACGGATATTGCATGTATTATTATTAGTCCGTCTAGATATATATCATATGTTGGATAAATTTTGTATTCAATCCCTGTTGATTGTATGGCATAGTCATGAACAGCACTTCATTATCGGTTGTGCATGGACGTAGGAAATCTTCGATACTCAATTCACGATTGGCGAACATGCAGTGGCTTAAGGATGATTATACGCAAGCAACTGCAACGCTAAATCTCAAATGTAAATTATGCCAACAATCCGTTTCAACCAGCCAGCTAAAACAACATAAAAAAATACATCTAGCTTATAGATATCTCAAATACCGCGGCGTTTCTAAGCCAGAGAACTTAAAAGCATTGCAAAAGCGAAGAAAATCTTTAATTAGAAAATTGCGAAGATTATATAGCGACAAGGAAGATCCAGAATATGATCGTAAGCTTACTAGATTTAACTGGGCATACGAACTAATAAAAAGTACTTTTGATGATGCTTACTATAATGCTAGGGTTGTAACCCCAAGTAGCCATGAGCAGTTACTTGGTAAAGATATCATAGTCATAAAGTCTGATTCAGTACCAACGGCTATATACCACGGTGGAAGTGATCAGGGACGCGGTTCTGCTTTAGATAGGATTGTAGCTGTGCTAAATCATAATTTTGGAAGTCAAGGTGGTAAAAATTGCTACTATTACGGTATGTATAGCGGATATCACGGATGCCAGGCTGCTGAAGAGGCTAAGATAAATCTGCATCGAATATTTGCCAATGAATTAAGTAAAGAAGATTTTAGTGTAACTGTCAATGAGTACTCAACGTTATCACTAGAAGAAACAAAAGTTAGACAGGACGATTCAATTCGCAGTGAGTGCGAATATGAATCAGCAAATATATTTTCCAGTTCAGCATCTCCAGAAAGGGTAACTTCAATGTTAAGCTTGGATCAATCTATTCATCAGTTAACTTATTCGGCCTTGAAAAAAAGAAAGAAGCTCAATAGCTTTGAAAATTATCTCTTAATGGTCGCAAACGCATTTAGACATGCTTACTCTAGCTTTGATACAAAATTAAAAAAAGGTATCAAAGAAAAATCAACTGTAAGGTGGAGTGGTTGCTCATCTTTATCATGTTTATTAAATTTTAATCCTTTATTGAGTAAATCTGGAATACTACATTTAGCGAATATCGGAGATATTAAAGGTGTCTTATGTAGAGGAGGTACTGGCTATATACTAAGTCGTAAACATACTCTTAGTAATTCTCGGGAAAGATTAAGAGTACTAAAGTGTGGTTGTACCATAAAATCAACATCATCTGCATGTAGTTTAGTAAATGGGGTCTTACATGTTACAAGAGGATTTGGTAATCATGGTGATCCTCTTTTAAAATCTGCTGTTATAAATACTCCCCACGTTACATCAATAAGTTTAACAGATGAAGACTACTTTCTAATTTTGGCTACGAATAGCTTATGGGAATCTATCGATGCAAGAGCGGCGGTAGAAATGTTATTAAATATGCATCCCTTTAAGAAGGTTAACAATGGTGTTGCTGAGGATTCGAAATATCAGGATTCAAGTTTTCAACAGGAGCAAAAAGTCATAGAAAATGTTCAAACTAAAATCAATAATTCTAAATTAAGTATAAGCAATATTTCAGTAGGTCTTCATTCCATGTCATCTAATGATTATTATGACAAGGCTGAAAGTGCTATCGGTAATAATGAATTACCTTCACTTAATTCTCATACTTATCATGACGTTAGCGATGAAAGTTATTCGCTATCAAAACAAGGATTTCCTTCCAAAACAAGCTCAGTAACAAGATCAAATTTTAGAGAGTTACACAGATCAAATACTGCTATTACTGATGCGTCTTTCAGACACTCAACTGCGAATAAAATTAGAAAAGAGGCAAAGACTGGTTGCTTGATAGCCAAATTATCAGCAGAAGGTGTTGAAGAGCATGAAGAAATCGTAGATTCTTACAGTGATTTAGACGCTATAACGATCTTAGAAGACGAACAACCTATACCTTTAATCAGTAAGATAGAGTTATTCTGAGCATAATATAGATAAACCACATGCTAGACGTTACACTAAATAACTCTATACAATTGTATAAAAGAGTATTGGTAGCATGATTATATGCAATATCTACTTTTTTAATTTAATGCGCATTATCATAACTGATACAAGTGTTTAATAATTTTACAGAAAATAAAGCAATTTCTAGTGCACCTATCAACCAAAGGGACATACTAGCAAATCTATCCACAGAAATGACAGAAATGCTGGTTAGAAGTGCCCTGCAAGCCAACTGCAAGGATAATCTAAGTGTTGCAGTTATAGTATTACCCGGATTCTGCAAAACCTTTTCTTTAAATTAGAAGCTTAAAATGTATTATTACTACTCAAGATTTTTACTCTACGTATTTACAAATTATTTTCAATATCATTATTTATAGTTATAAATTGGCATTGATGTCCTGAAATCACTTCTACTTGTAATAATATAAGAAAGCTTTTGCTAGAGGATAAAATTTTAATCATATCTTTTTAAGTACGTCATCACAGCATGAAATCACCGATACGAATTAATTTTATACCAATTAGCTCCTACATGAATCGTTTAAAGCGATAACTTATCACATTCTATGCGAAGCTTTTAAATTGTTAACTGCCCTCAAGGCTCAAACAAACAGCCTTATACATTATATAATAATCATTTATCGTATTTATTGAATTCTTGTTATTTTTTGAATAAATTTGAGATAGATTATCATTTTTAAACAAAATTTTTGAAAGAATAATATGCTGTGTTACTTTTTCCAGACCTTGATTAGCAACAGATTATTGTTAGTCGGTTATAAATTATGACTATATCCATTATCGCATATGATCCAAACTGTATCAATAATAATCAAAGTGCTTATCACAGCTGAATAATAAGTTTTGTATAAACAATATATTTACATTGCTATGGCTCAATAAAATTGAATACTTGATTTTGTCACTAGAACTGGACGTTATTAATCATACTATAACATTCATGATTTAACGTTGCAAGCATGAAGTACTAATTTTGAAGATTTTTTATAGCATATGCGTACGCGTAGAACAATGTGTTGAGGTTATTTAACACTAAGCTCAGATCTAAAGACAAGCATTTCACACAGCTAGACAAATAGAGGCAAAGCTATGATATTTTGTTCCGTTTATATACTGATCAGTGAAATGGGCTTGTTTACGACAAGCATTCATTACCTGCATTTACCATATACGTACAGCATGTTTATAAAACATTGTATTAGCACAGCTTTAGAGCAGCTCCTTACTGTAATAAATAGCTTTAACATTTTCTATATTTACATATTACATATACAATTCTAATTTATGCTTACAATTTCGCAAAAATTTTCGATTCAAATTTTGTAGACTAATTTAGCTTAAAAATTAGGAATAAATAGGAACAGTCCGCAAGATCTTGTAACTTGAATGATAATTGAGTGTAAGTCACTTGGTAACATCGACGATGAATGGAATTCCTGTAGTCCAATCACATACTTTCATGTGTATGTTGGGAAATACTTATTAATGGACCTTAGTTCGGCAGCTAGCCGTTATTCTTCTGATTTAAATACACAGTATACATCATTTTACTTCCAGGTAAATTATACCGTATTTAAAGTATTCATAGTGTGTGTCATGAAGATTTAGAACTATTACTCCATTGCTGTACAGTATAATATTATTGCTTATTTGTCATACCAAAGTGTAAACCTGTCAATCGCATTACCATCATTTGCTTAATTAAATATCGCAAACTTCGTACTCTTTCAAGTACACATCAGAGAATTTTGACTGTAACCAATTTTTAATAACTGAGTACTTAGCACATAAAAGCATGAATTGTACTATAAATGCGTCTCTGTGAAATCCTGATGTTGATTTATCGATTGCTCTGTTGTTTTGGATTGATTACAATCCTTCCTGTCAGATTTAATGTCATACCATTTTTTCAATGCTAAGGCCGATGCACCAGCTATGATTAAGAGGGAGCCAAATATCGAGAGCAAGGAAGGCGATGAGCCGAAAATGATCAGTTCTAATATGTATCCAAATATCACATCCGTGGTTCTGATGATAGAGATTAATGTAGCTTTCTCCAACTGTATAGCGTTGGTGAAAGAAATTTGGCCTAAAAATCCTAGCACTCCTACAGCAATTAGGAGCCATCTTGTAGCACCACACTGGGGCAATCGATAAGAGGTGGTTATAGAAAATATGATTATAGGCACAATAAAGCAAACAATTGAAAAATAATAAGTGATAACATAGCTGTCGACTTTATTACCAATTTTTCTAATATTCAAAATAGCAATGCTGGTAGCTATAGAGGCAGCAAATGCAATGCTAGCTGCAGCAAAGCGAAATGGTGCATCATCAGCTTGCGATCTAAAAATAAATGGTGGCCTAGCAACAAGTATAATACCACCAAAGCTGACTAAAGTTGCTAGTAAATTGAAGACGGTAAATCTTTCTTTTAAAAGAATAGCAGCTAAAATACCAGTGATGAAAGGAGATGAAAAAATGATAGCTGAAGCATCGCCAATGTTCATATTTTGGTAAGCATAAAACTGACAACAAACAGATACTGTGCCAGCGATTGTCCTGCCCAATACAAAATAAACTTGTGGACGCTTACAACCGCTGGATAAGTCTTTTTGTTGCTTAATTATGGCCGATTGTAAGAGTAGTATCTGTACAGCAGATCGTATTGCTGCAACTAAGAAAAAGTCGTATGCAGCCAACTTGACACAGGCAGACATGAGTGAAAAAAAAAGTGACGATAGTAGTGCGTATAACATACCACGGTAAGGTTTCAGTTGGGCTTTCATATTGTTGATTGAGGTTTTCATTCCCCTAGTCGATGAAACTGCTAGCACAAGAGGTCAATCGTTATAATCTTACAGCAGAATTTGCAGCTGAAGTTATTTTGATATTCGTGTCTGGCTATCGATGTTGTATATAATACAAAACACACGTCTTATCTGCTAAATTAGACTCCTAAGCGTATGCCAAGTAATTAGGACGCCTAGAATGGGCAGGTTTTAAGTTTTAACAGTATTGGGAGAATGATTTGGGTTTCCAATATTGGAAAATCTACAACTTGATTGCAATGATTTAGCCAGATACACGCAGCAGGACACTTGAATTTATACATTATCCATGATACTAGTAGATGAGTCCATAATTATTCTAGTTATTTATCGCTCCTTAAGTTCAAAATGCTGTAAAATGGAGGAAAAATTTTCAATTAGCGTAATATGATACATTAAGTTGATCTTCATCAAGGAGATTGCATCATTTTCATGCCAGACTAAATATGTGATTAATGTCTCGAGTTCAACGCAATAAAATAATAATAATATTAATTTAAGTTAATATGTGATTCATTATTTCAACTGTTACTCGTACAATACTCAATGAAAACTGAGTGTACAGTACAGTACAGTACACAGTACAGTACAGTACTGTATGTGGTACGAACACTCTACAGTACAGTGTACAGTACTGTAGATGATCATGAAGTTAAAAGTCTTGCATACAGTACAGTACGCGATAGCATCATCTTTCGTTCTTACGCGCGTGCTCAGTACTTACTTTTGTTTCTGCGTACTGCACACTTTTGTCAGACAGGAAAACGGCGTCCGTCCGTAACTTTCCACTTTTATCACTCCATTTGTCTAGAAGTTTGGTGAAAATTTTTTCTGTACTGTACACAGTACAGTACAGTACAGTACTGTAGGAGTGTCTGGTTGCAGTACTGTACACTGTACAGTAACTGTTATATTGTACAGTATAATGTGTACTGTACTGTACACTGTGTGAACGTACAGTACTGTACTGTAAAACTGACGTCGAGTAGAATTCAGTACGCTAGAGTACAAAGTATCCGGCAGTTGTAAAAGGCACAAAGTAAAACACTCGCTCTAATACGCGTATAATTCAAATCGGCTAGATCTTTTTATCACGCGATACTGCTTGGTCGCCGTCATTTTATCCTTAATTCAAAGTGATGGTGAGTTATTAATTATCCTTAGCCGACTGAACAGATCTACTGCTATGTCCCAGGTATGTACTCCATATTGCAAAATTGAAAATGTTATGACAAGCTATAAAAAAGATGTTACTGTGCTGCAGTGATACGACTTGACGCTACAGTACAGAACAATCATAGACTTGATTTAATACGTTCAAGGAAAAGTAGACAATCACTGTCAAATGGGTGTCCTGATCCACTTGTAGTTGGATTACTTATCATCATCATGGACTATTGATCAATTCAACCTATCGATATGACTTGGCTCTCTACAACTCCTATCCTCTTGTCGATATCCGTAGCAAAGAATGAAATGAAATAAATAGCAATGCTTGGGTCGAATAAAAGGAATGTTGTATTCCACTTTGAATCAGCGAGTAGAAGCCATCATTGACATCATTGAACGTCGCCACAGAACGCTCACCTATATCGTGCATGCGGGCGTTACGCCACTGCCTACTACAGTGCAGTACTGTGCAACAATAGCTCTTCACCTACAATACAGTACTAGATATCTCGTTGATTGCCACCAACTTCTTGCAGTACTCTACTCTCCCATCAGGCGGCCATATTCCAACTCTGCATTGGCAACTGTTGCAAAGCATAAAAATTCATTTCAATCATGGCCAGCTAAGACCACAATCTAGGGTAGCGAACACCACACGTATTGGCTATCCAAAAATATATGAAATACTCTATACCTTTCAGTTTATGGAGGAGTCTTGACATGACTCGAGTCGCCTGTTGTATTCTTCCATTTAATGCAGTCAGCAAAGGAAGTTGGATAGCGGTTGTACAAGTGTAAATTACAGATTGCTTAGTCACGTACTAGATGTTATTACTACCAACTTCATGCAGTACTCTACTCTTCAATCAGGCGGCCATATTCTAACTCTGCATTGGCAACTGTTGCAAAGCATAAAAATTCATTTCAATCATGGCCAACTAAGACCATAATCAAGGGTAGCGGACACCATACGTATTGGCTATCAAAAGAATATAAAATACACTATACCTTTCAGTTATGGATGAGTCTTGACATGACTTGAGTCGCCTGTTGTATTCTTCCATTTTATGCAGTCAGCAAAGAAAGAAGGAAGCGATCATATTGAATAGAGGTTGTACAACTTCAAATCACGGACTGCTTCAGAAAGGAGATAGATACAGTAGATTCGATATTCTTTGACCGGATACTATACTCTACATTTGCTGTCACTGTGTAGAAGTACTATTTGGGCGTCAGAGCAGAATGCATCGCAAACGAAGTAAAATTATATGTATGACTGGACGACTAATGATTACCACAATACCTTCTACGCCATACTTCAACCAACGCAGAAATATCACCTAAACCATGGACTACTAAAACAAGACCTCTTTTTTGTAGTAGTCTTTGCCTAAACGCTTAAACAGCATATGTACAGTATCTTATACGTCTACTATTTATTCGGTATTACAGTTGGTTTATTGACTTCTGTATTCGTATTTAGAAAACTATTTCGGATGTACAATATACATCCACGATTTCAAGCGAGTATATTGTAGCATTTTTACAACATTGACAAATCCCTACTCTCAACGGAACGGAACTAAATGCCCTGATATCGTCTACTGTAGGCGATGGAGTGATACTATTGTAGTAAAGTTCGAACCGAACACTTTAGCTACCTTTTCGATAAAGCTGAACTTAAACCTGCTTTGTACGATAACAGCAATACAATCAATTCATTGCTTACACCATATTTTACTTCACATCTCCTCAGTATTATAGCTTGTGATTTAGGAATAATTTCGAGTATCTCTCAGGATGGATTGTAGCGTTAAAGACAGAAATTAAATTTAAAGTCTGATCTTAAAATTGCATTATACACTGCACCTGTTATCAATTCTATTGCACGTAATACAATAACGTTGAGTACTTAAACTCAAACCTTCTTTCATTTTTGGGATAACAAAACAGCTAGAAGAGCATATTGAAACAACTAATCCTGAAAATATAGGTAAGATGATGCTTATCCAAGTAGTATTGAACCAGTTACTCATGAAACTGCGATTTAATATTGTATGGACTCTAAATTAATACTGAAAGTGAGCTTTTATATTCTATTTAGTAATTATTTCACTAGCACTATATGTTAAACATACTTTAACCTAATTAAAACAAACTTGAAAGATATTCTACATACCTACAGTTGTTCTCGTAGTAAAGTCGAATACGAAAATATAAAACGTTACCTAGTAAGGTGTGAAATAAAGTACTACTGACTGTACATATAATTGAGCGTACAGGATAAGCTAGAAATATCAGTTAAATATATTCGCAATGATCGTTAGCTGGAGAGGTTAACAAAAGTTACAGCTTGTACTTTTATTAATGGATCGTTATTATTGACGAAACTGTTGATTAATTGAAAATTTTATCTTGATAGCAGAAAGTCATGACGGTGCTGATCAGGTAGATGAAAGTAACAATCAAGAGACTGAACCGAAGGTTTGTGAATCTAATAAAAAAATGAATGAAACTTTTAAAAGTAAAAACCGCTCGATATTGTGAAAAATAAATGAGCAGTTGTTCTATAATAAATATGTTTGAATAACTTACCCAAGTTTTGTCGTATAGAAGTGAGTTATTTAAATATTATTTACCTTTACTAAAATTTTTTTAAATTATGAGTAGAGATTTAGATTTTAACAGTAACACAGTTTCATAACCTTAAGCCATAAAAACAACGTCGAGTACTGCAGTTATACTACTGAAAATATGTATCTAGGAGGATCGATGCATTCATTGTTTAGATAGTTACGAAGTATGTCAAAGTTGATACTTACATTCTACCATAAGATGATCATAGTTGCTATTGTATCGTAATAAAAAATGCCCACCTACGTACCCGTGATCAGTACTATACTGTATGTTGTTGTTATATACACTACTCTACATACGTTGTTTTACATGAATTCGTTAATTATATCGTCATGTAAGCAAATTTCGTTAGCAATAGAAAGCACTGAAAATCGTATTTATATTTTGGTATATACTTAGAGTGAAGATATCGATAAAGTTGAAAGGGAAACGCACGATGGATCAGATAACAATAGCGAAATAGAACAAAATAGTAACATCGCAAATTCCAATGAGGCAGAAGGTAATAAAGAAGATAACGAAGGTGATAATAGCGTCAAGGATAATAGTAGCCAGTCCGAATTAGAGAATAGTATAAATGGTAGTGAGAATACTGACGGGGAAGATTCTGAAGATCAAAGCGACGTAAAGGAGGAATCGGGTGCGGAAGAGGAAAAAAAAGGCCCTGCTTTTGTTCCGAAAGATAAACGATACTACGAGCATGATGATAGGGCGCTAACAAGTGATGAAGACAGCGATAAAGATCAAGATGAATCAAATACGTTAAAGTAAATAGAATAACCTCTCAGTAATGATCCTTTTTTTATCAAGCGATAGATATTTGCGCTGAGTAAGTATTTTTTTATAGACCTACACGCCGTCGGCAACCACGGGGAGAAGAACGGTGGGAGCACGATTTATTCATCCTTGATAAGCAAGGCCCAAAGATAGCTAGCTCGGTAGGGATTTGTACGTTTATTTTCTAAGCATTCTTACCAAAATTGATTCTAATCTTATGGGAAATTAATATAGAAGCCTGGTGAATACGCTAATTATGATTCCAAAGCAAGACAAGGTAGTAGGAGAGACTGGCAGGAATACGAGTAAGTCAGAAAAATGGGTTAATTTGCTTTAAAAAGTAGTTAATTTTTAACATTAAATTAATATGCACTAAAATATTTAACGTTAAAGTGATTTCGAGAGGAGAGATAGACAAGGAAACAGAGGTAGAGGTAGACCGAGAGGTAGAGGTAGAGGCAGTTATAGAAGCGAAGATAGAACAAGAGATACAAACAGGGATTGGAAGCGGGATGAAACGGAACAGTTTAGAGAAACTTCGAGGAACGATTTAAGAGGTGCTCGTTATGGAAGAGGTATCAGCAGAGGAAATCGTGGACAAAGAAATTATACGTCTAGAAATCAATATAACAACGATACTGCTGTAAATGATATTCGAAATTCAGGGAGGGAACAAGTTACTAATAGATACAGTTCAGATGGTTTTGAGCAGGCTGATACTAACAGAGCTGGTAATAATCATAAGTTGTATGGTAGTAGTAATAGTCAAATCGATACTGATAGAAATGCACGTCGTCAGAAAAATGCGAAAGATAAGAATCCACCCAAGCAAACAGCGACCATACAAAATAGCCGTAATGATCTAAAAAATCATACTGATGCTGAACCTGTAACGCAAAGGAACGATAATGAAAGAGGTTCGACTAATTTTAAAACTGCCCGACAAAGGCAAGTATCTGGAAATCAAAAGGCTAGACGCTCACAAAGGTCCTACGATAATGAAGATAGACAAGATATAAAATCATTCGGTGATACAGCTAAAAGACCCTCACGATATTACGATCAAAGTACGAAGCTGTCATCACAAAGAAACGAGAAATATCAAGATAAAATACGTACAGATAATCGTCCTGGAAAGAAGGAACCAACAGCAATCAGTGACTGTGATGACATCCCTGGTACGTCTAAGAATTCATTTAATATTTACCTACAGATTGGTAGCGTACTAAATGAAGAGTCTATACATACTAATTCATCAATCTAATTATTACATATTTTACAGTATTGTCAAAGGATGATGAAAGTCAAAAAGTAATTGAAAGCAACAGGTATGTGAACTAAAGAATTATTATTTGGTATTGAAATACAATACCTTTGTATTTACAGTATTTTCTAATTGGGTCCTAATCTTCTTTACCTACTGAAATAGGCAAGAACCTAATAAAGGACAAATTAATGTAATTTCGGAATCTAAAGAAATCACTGCAACAGCGGTAGAAGATGATTCCGGTAGCGGCTTGTTAAAATTAACTGTCCAAATTGATGGCAGGGAACCCATTTCGACATATATAGCCGCTCCTAATCCCACGCAATCTACCGCTGCTAGTAAACCCAAGAGATATTCATCACAACGTCGTGCAGTTTCTCAAAATGTTAAAACAGATAATGCAAATACGTCTGAACCACAGTCGCAGCAAGAACAAATACAAAATATGACTGTATCTTCTGTTCCTCCTGCTGTGCCCCATCCGGTAGTTGGCAATTATTATGATCAAGGTGTGAACACTATATTAAAAATGCCCTATCATTATTCATAGATTATCATAGTAGAAATGAATCAAAGTTATATGAAACTTTTCTTTCACTTTCCGTAGCGTACATAGAACAGCAACAGCAGGCAATGTTTCAAGGGGCAGTCAATACGCAAGGATCACAATCTCAGGAACAGCAACCTCCTGAAATAGTTAACAATCAAATTGTCATGGTTCCTCAACAAGATATTGCAGTAAATAGCACAGGTATTTTTTTGATCTTGATTTAATTTTATAGGTAATTCTTTGCGTCAATCCTGTAGAACAAGATTGAATTCAGAGTGCTTCTATTTACCTGCAGGTGAGGAAAACGAAATGCTTGGAGTAATGTCGGGTTCTGGTCCTCCAGATAACGTGATGCAGCCAATGGTAACCGGTTTCTTTTCTCCGCGTCATCCATATAATCAATTACCACTACAAACTGGGTATTTACAGTCTGGAGGAAATGTACCCGGACCTGTATCTCACCAGTTCCATGGTATCGGCTATGGACCTCCGTAAGTATTTTACTGCTTTTGCATCCACAGATTTTTAGATCATGAGTTCAAATTTCTATTTCAGTTTATCAAGTGTCAAAAGCAAATTATTTTATGTGAATATTTGTATTATTGTTCTTATAGATATGGAGTAATGCCAAATCAAGTTCCTTTACAATATCCGGTATTATTAGAGCTCCTATTATTTACTTTCATCTTGCAGATATGTGTGTATATTTTACCTATAACGCTTTTATTAAGTCATAAACGTACAATTACGTTGTTTAGATGTATCAAGGTGGGGTTATTCCATCAGTTTATCAGCAACAACAACAATTTAACGCCAAGAGACCTTCGGCAGCAATTCCTATAGTCCGACCCCCAGGGTCCCATGTAATATATTCGAAATCTTACAGACTATTCTTGATATGTACTGTATTTGAGTAAACTGATTATCATACTCTTTTATAATTACTTATTGTAATTCTTTCTAAACATATTTTCTAGGATGAAAGAATTCCTCCAAGCGAAATTTAATAGCGCCTTGTAATTAATAGTGATTCTTAAATATATTTTGTTTATTTTCGACGATACGTTAACAGTACAGTTACCTAATACTGAGGATGGAACGTTTTGTTTCTATATCAATATCCATTACAATCAAATAAGTAATCGTATGGCCAAAAATTGTAGATTAATTATAGTATAAATTTGCTGTGGCTTATTAAATGATCACGAAGAATGGTATTCTGCGGTAAAAGTAAGGAATCATATTTTGACCCGTTAATTACCAGCACGTTACTTTTCAAAATAGTGTAACAATTCTATATTAAATCTACAAGAATCATTCAGAAAATATGATAAATATTATCAGCTATAGTGCTTATCTATGTAAGATAGTGAGCTAGTAAGAACTAGTTGATCATAAATTTAATTTTTTGTGCAGTTTTATAAGGTATAAGTAGATTTTGTTTTGTTGGCGTAGCTATAGCATGCACGCAGATCATTGTAGCTAAGTTATTGCCAACTTCTGTTTTGGAATTGTTATTATCATTACACTACAGAATACTATGATATTGTGTCAATATAATCCACAAAGTTAACTGCATCATAAACTCGACAATTTTCACTTTCTATTCAGCGATAGCATGGCATTGTAATTCATAGTAAGTTATACAACTGACTAAACTGGATGAATTTGTATCAAAGGTGCAGTCCACCTCGCCGGTTTTGAAAATATTCTTACCAGTTCGATTACTGTGATTTCTGCCTTGCACATTGCGCTTATCTCTTTTCTCATTCCTTACACTAATGGCTAGCTAAAGTGCCTTAATTGTGTATATATATGGTTATATAAATATCAGTTGTAATTGATTCTAGGTTATTTACTTGCCTTCGTATGTGTATACACCTTGAGCAAAGTGCTATTATGGTTATATTGCCTTCAACTTGATGTAACGCTAACAGTAATGTAAAACATGTTCAATTGTGTCTTATGATTGATCTACAGTGCATTGGTATAGGTTTAAAACTTCTATTACCGAGAATCAATGGTGCAGACTTCATTCATAATGTCCTAGTTAGTTATGTGCTTTCACACTTTTACCGAACAATCCGCAATAAAACTTGGGATTGAGAATGATCACTTCTGAAATTGCTAAGTCTCATTTAAGGGTGTGTATGCATGCTCGCTTGTGTTGTACAGTACTGTGCGATTTCGGTTACAAATAAAGCCAGTTACATCACTAACAGTCACGTGTAGCTTTTAAATTATAACATAGTGCAGTTCCTAGAGTAGCAGCAGCAATATATTGAACTACTGCGTATCATCAGGATCAAGTCAGACCGTGTATTACCTAAGTTCATAATTTCACTTTATAATCGTCTGACATCAACTTGTTCAAGGTATAATTATTTGTAAGTAAAAATTGAAAGAGTAACTAGTTTATTGGCAAATTAATAATAAAATCCTTACAAGTTGTAACTACCAGTCTAATATTTTTACCGAAATTGCTAAAATAGAATTTTATTACATTAATTCAATTATCCATCAATAAGGTCGTGGATTGTATACAGTCATAGTGACAATTTGATATTCACAACTTAGCTACAGAAACTATATGTTGCTAAATCTTAATGTCGTATCAAATACAGATACTTTTGACGAAGCATTGTAATTGATCTCATTAAAAATAGTATTACCGACTCTTTTTGCTTATTTCATCTGAGAAAGATTCCATTCGCTTTCTCTTAACTTGTGATAGATAGGATTCAACATTACAGCAATCTAAAAATTATGTAGAAGATGAGCATTACGTATATCATTGTAATTTAGTTAATTGCAATGTTGAATTAATCATTACGACGCTCGTAAAACCAAGATATTAATCTCGAATAATTATAAAATTGACGCCGATTAAACATTTCACTAACCTCGAAAATGATCACCTTTCAATGCCGATGCCAACGGATCAATTATAGCTTCAATCTCTACTTTAATCGTCTTCTAGAGTTTAAAAGGTGTATTGAAAGAGATTTATTAAATAGTAAAATAGTAAAACTGCGCAAAGTACATTTATATACCGATATTATTAGCTTACATGCGTGCTGTCAGTACAACTATCTTTAAATAAATTCCAAATCTCTAAAGGCTCATCAATATTTGAAATTAATATCCATAATGATTCATTAATGAAGGATGTCTTCATTGGAACATCAATCAATTCAATTTCTTGCATATAATTTAATTCGAAATTATTTTTGTTGATGTGGTATAGAAGAACCATCTTGATACTAAATGTTAATAATAAGATAAAAACGTACCGGAAGCAGGCAGATATTATGTCAATTTTTATCTGCTTTAAAATATTAAAATCCGGTATATGATAAAATGCTACTAGTACTCACTGTTCACAACATATAGCTACAACGTTATATTTCGGACAGTAAGAGATATTTGAAATGATGGTTTCAGTGCATTCCTTCTTAAAAGTCAAATCAAGTTGAAATCAATATTGGCTACTATTAGGTCCTAAAATGTTAAGCTGTTATGATTTATTCAAGAATCCAAGTGCAAATAACTATTTTATAATTTATATAACAGTTATTCAACATTATGGTATTACCAGCTGATCTTGAGAACTACTACAACGTTGTTGTAATGAGTCTTTAATGTCTTCAGACAGTAACTGTTGACCAGATAGATAGTTCCACAGTTTTATTGTTCCATCCTAGAAAAGTATTGAGACATCGTTCTTTTATGAACATGAATCAATTACAGGAGCAGATATCAACTAACTTACGCCCGATCCTGATACCATCAATTCATCATCGAGTATCGCTATAGTACTTACGAATCTAAAATATTAATGATAGAACAGTTATCCTAATATCATTTCATAAACCTATAGGTTACAAATTCAAAGGTAATTCAGCCTTATTGTAAACTTACTCAGTATGTCCAAGACAAAAGGCAGAAATATCATAAGTATGGGGATAGTTACTTATTCGAATCTTTTCATCGCGATCGCCAGTTATTAGGTATTTATTATTAGGAGATAATGCCTATTAAATAAAAGGGCAAATTTTACTCGATAGTACCTCGTGCCGTATTATGCAATTAGAGAAACTGTTTTGAATTTTCGAAATCAACTGATTCTATTTATTAATGTAACCTACCATACACAATATTATGGAAATATGGCCAAGGCATATATCCCCTTCTTCATTATAATTATCAATTGATAATCTGTAGGGAATATTATTTCAAAGAAGAATTAATATAAGCGTATTACTATGGTACTATTGAGGAACCTTTGCCATGTATTCAAATATAAATAATAGAAACTACGATTACACTCTTACGATTTACAGTTCAAAATTCATTCATAATATTTTTGTACCAAGCAATTAATTTTCCATGCTACATCCAACAGTACTGAATAAACTACCAGACTCTATCTCAACAATGTAAAAAACACGTGTACATGTCTATATGATATAACGTTAACCTTGAAGATATGTGCTATGCTATTACTAAGTGTTCCTAATTACTGTACAAATAGTACAGTTTGTTGTGTGATTGTGAACGTTTTGCAATACTGATTGTAGCTATAACAATTTCGATAAGTTAGAAAACATTGATCTACCATTGGAATACTATTCTTAAAAACGTTTCAGATCATTGCTGCCACGTTGAAACCTGAACAAATACCAAGATTGACTTTGCTATTGCTATTACTATACCTAGTCACGAAGCCAGCTTTATCAGCAATTAAAATTTGTTTAGAATCTTGCGTAAATAGAATGGAGGTTGGTCTCTTACTGATTTGCCTAAGAAATGATATAACGGATGTATGTATTATTGAAATAGAAGTAACTAGTCGTATTAATGAATAGCAGCTAGTACAGTAGGTATAAAGAAATGAAAGTAAATGACATAACGCTCGGGCTAAGGCAACTTGCCTCAGTCCTAACTAAAATCTACATTATTGCATAACGTAACTAAGGTAATATCTTACCCTGCAACATTTACTTAAGTCCTAGACATTATATTCGTACTCACTGAATAAACACGAGCTCTGCAAGCATGGTGTTGCCACCTGTTGGCGTTATGGTACTGTACTTGTGAAATTAAACTAATCAGTAACGCGTAGGACAGTCCAAGTCTAGTGTAAGAACTAAAATTACCTGGTATAACTGGATATAACGCGAACGAGCACAGTATTATCATAGATTAGTAAATTATCTGTGATTTAGTAATCCATGTTATATACCGTAGTTGCTCAAGCAACATTCCATACAATGTAGCTGCAGCTTACTACAGGTACAAGAGCTAGGAGTGAACTCCTCGAAGGATTATAATGAATGAGTAAGCTTAATTACGGCATCATCAAATCAATCTTGTTCTCTCTCTTATCAGATGTTAGCATGCATAAGTACTTTCAAGATTAATGTATTCATTTTTGACTATCAAATGACTAGACCGTGAAGTAAGAGCGTATTAAATTTGTCCATTTCTGCAATGCGGGTATATACCTTTTACTGACAATGCTCCAGTTGTTACGATCGCATTTCCAAAGATTGACTGATTTTACTTCGTTACAGCTAGCAAAATAGCATCCATCCCATGATAAAGCACAGCATATTGCCTTATTGTGGTTATTCTTTGCATCACCATCAGTGTTTATCTCAGAAAGCAGAGCCCTAGAACTTCAAAACAGCTCTAATCAATATAACAACTTCAAAAGGATGCTGTCAACTCCAGCCGACAGCACTATAGCTATTGGTCGAGTCGACTTTCTACTCGTCCATTCATGTATATCCATGGCGGACAGCAATCACCATGACAAGATATTAAGCATCATCTCTTGCAATATGGCAAAAAATAAAATAGAAAGCTATACTAGAGCAATGTATCTTTGCAGATGGAGAACATACTTGCCATTAAAAAACTGAATTTTACTTCCATTAAGAATAGCAACTTGCGAGCTATTGGCGCACATAATACTATCTCCAAGCATGGCTAACAGAGTTGAAAATTCTTGTCTAAAAGAAAGCAAAAATTCACAAGAATGGATAATTCATGATATCGATGGAAAGGCGACTATTAAACTATCTATCAATGCTTTCATTCACTTCATTGCTCTCGACATTGAGCAATCAATTGATGAAAACGATTCATACAGTAGTCAAGATGGCGTGGCATAGACAGGATAGTATGCCAACCTACAGTACGTACTACAGTACATGTCTAGTGTACATTGTACAGTACACTGTACAGTACGGTACTGTAGATTTCGCCAAGAGGATACAGTAGAAATCCTGGTAGCAGTCGCAAGTACTGTACACTGTACACTGTAGAAGCCAATACTTTCATACTGTAGCACCGCTTCCTATAGCCATTCATAGAACGTTGCGTCAACCAACCAACCACTCAGGTGACGTATCACCGTTGAATTTTGTCCTCCACTAAGGAGAGAATCCTCTTTCAACGATCATCGAAATCTTACCTTATCGTCGAAATCGTCCATCATAGCTATCTTACCTTACCTGGATAAATCGCAGTTTAATTGCCATGCCTACTGGCTGCTGTAAAGGATCAATGTCCTAACTTTGCTGCAGAAATCCTGGTAGCAGTCGCAAGTACTGTACACTGTACACTGTAGAAGCCAATACTTTCATAGCACCGCTTCCTATAGTCATTCATAGAACGTTGCGTCAACCAACCAACGACTCAGGTAACGTTGTCATCCACTAAGGAGAGAATCCTCTTTCAACGATCGTCGAAATCGTCCATCATAGCTATCTTACCTTACCTGGATAAATCGCAGTTTTAATTGCCATGCCTACTGGCTGCTGTAAAAGATCAATGTCCTAACTTTGCTGGTTGAAAAGTGCCAAGAGTTGAGGGTTAAGAAAGACAGAGCGATTGCTCGAGTCCAGGTAAGTCTCGCTAGCTGTAGTAAGTAGTATAGCACCCTGCGGTAGGCCAACAGCCTTGGAAAGAATCGATCTTTGACAGACTCTACTGTTGGCAGTTCCTATGTAATACAGGTTATGGATAGCTGCCATCAATGCTATTTTATCAGTTTAAAGAGAATACTTTCATCTTAATGCAAAAAGATTCTGCCCATAAGGAAGAATCGATCTCTTTTTTAGATAAGTCATAGTTTACTGTAAGTTGGTTGAAAATTGAAAAGAGGAGTGACTCATACAAAGTTTCCACTTTAAAGTGATCCCCTTTCATTCGAGATGTCTGAATAGTAAAAACTTGAATAAAACGTCTAAGAAATAATACAACTCATGATGGGCCGTCCCAAGACTGAAGAACTGTTATTATAAATTTAGAATTGAAAGGTAAAATTGAATCACGGATAGAAAAACTCCCCAAGTCAAGAGCTATCCGTTCATCATCTATTTTGCATCACTTTCGTCAAAATTGATGTAAAAATGACACTATCGAATGGAAAGGGATCACATGGTACGTACCTGTTAAATCAACTACCGTATCATGACAACGTCCTTGAGCTGCAAGCTGGACTGTTAAAAAAGGAATAAAGTAGTATGCTGTACATCTCTTGAGATCACCCCTACTACTGTACTAGGTTAGAGGCCACGGCGAAGATACTGAAAATTCTGAAAACGTTAGCCGATCAATTGAACATTGAAATGAAACAAAGCTAGAGCCAAATGCTGTGCTATCGGACTGCAGCCCATCGCTCGTTTGAGAACGACGCGTAGATTGAGAGATACAGCTAAATTGTTGATAGTCTCCCTCCAGTTATCTGACAGTTTACAAGTATTGACACACTACGATCTAACATTGATCATATTAATTATTATACCTTATTAAGATCATGACAGACAATTGTTTTCAATTTAATTCAATGACCACTGGCGTATAGAAGCCGCAACAAGTAGCCCAAAAATAATTATCACAAAATACTATCAATACAATATATACAGTACACTAGTTGCTACTGATGAATGATAAATTATATTAAAGTTCGTAATAAGGTTTGCAATGCACTATGTAAGCAAGGCTACAGCCTAGCTACAGTAGCATTCAATCAATTATTCATTCTGCTGTACTGTATAATAATCCACATTAGCATAGCCTTTCGTTAAAATGAAGCACGGCCAAACTCATTCCCAAATTGAAGATGCTTCCTCAAGTACAGATCAAGACTTGGCCCAAAAATCATCGACAACAATCTCTTTATTAGCTGCATTATTTTATGGGGTAATCTCTGGATCGATTGCTTTCGTTAATAAGGTAAGCCTATTATGTCTTACTTATTACCGCAGGACAAATTGAATATGGATGATATTGTGGCCAACTCCACGATATGGCATAGAAATGATTGAACTACTGCACTCTTTACAGAGCTAACCTAATGAATTAATTAACAATCAATATAATTCCTTTCCTGTTAGTAAGATACAATTATTGATACACCGTGTTAAATTATCACACATCATACTGTGTTAATCCAATTACATAAACTAATCAGAATAGCACATTACAGTGGAAAGCCTTTTTCATAACCTCTTCAGCAGAAGTACGATTGAATTGAATTTATTCTATTTTGCATCATTCCTATTATTATCATTTATCAGGGTTGATAGTATGCACTAATTTTAATGAAGTTTTATTCTTAATCATAATCGTTTGCAACACTTGTCATAAATTTAAAGCAGCCATTTGCTAAATAGATCTCATGATAATACAGTTTAGGCAATGAAAGCTTATAGCAATTCTGTTGTTTCAACTTTGTAGGCAGTAATGACGACGTTTGGCTTTCCTTATCCAGTAGTCTTGGTTTTAGTCCAAATGATTTTAACACTAATCATCTTAAGACTATTACATTATTTTCAACTTATCAAGTTAATCCCTTTTACAATGGAAAAGTAAGCAGTAAATATCTTTACTCTGTTAAAAATAGTTAATTCGTAAAGATAGAATTAGTGTAAGTCACGTTGAATATGATAGTCAGAATTGAATACAATAGTCTTTTAGAGGTTATCATATCTTACAGTAACAAGAGCTCAGTTAGTTTCATATCGAATGGACAGTTTCGATAAGATACTCTATGAATAACAAAATTCAATCTGTAATTTAATGTAATGTCAACAGAATTGGTATCCTATAGAAAATTTTTTAAATCCAGTGAAAAAGATTGACTCATTCATTCTTAACTATATTTATTTCCTACTTCTATTTATATTACTCAATTTTCAATTGAATAAAATAGTGGACGCAAGTTGATGTTGCCTGCATTATGCTATGCTATAAACACAACTTTTGCAATTAGCGCCTTGACCGATTTAAATATTCCAATGTAAGTAATACAACCTTTTTAATGCTTTCGGTATCTTTTATCAAGCCATCTGGCTATAAATTTAAAGTAATGCAATACATACTTTAATTAATTTCCAGAAGAAATTATGCCAAAAAATATCTAACAAAGAAATTCACTTCACAGGTATACTGTCATGAAACGCCTGGGATTACTGATGAATTTGATTTTATCTGTTATTCTACTTTCTAAAATTCCTTCTGTTATGGTATGCTTTTCAATCGCTCTCATCATTACTGGTTGTGTTGTAGCCGGTAAGGAATCAATTGTAATTTCTATTCCTGATAGCTTACCTATTTCAACGTTATGGTATTCCTCGCATTGATCAACTGTTATCATTGGCCACTTTATTATTTTCTAAATATAGGCATGCACGATCTTTCTTCTCACATTTTTGGCTATGTGAATGCTTTAATCAGTGTAGTTTCCCAATCAATCTATCTAACATTAGTTGAAAGAGCTGGAGCTCGTACTGAGTTTTCAACTTCATCTATACTCTATCTCAATACTGTAAATTGTTTACCTTTCCAAATATTAATTGCAATTATAACAGGAGAGATTTATCAAGCCACTACGTATACACGCTTAAGGGATTGGCGATTTCAAGTAAGTTTAATAATGTCATTTCATGTATTAAGAGAATATGCGTAATTATTAATCTTACGTTCTTTCACAGTATTTACTACTGTAGTAATTGTAAAGATAATCTTATATACGTCAAGACTAGCTTTGGCGCAACATTTTACAATTAATACTACATAGCAAGTGAATTACTACACGGAGCTATAATACATACAAGTAATGTTCTTCTATTCAACGTATTGCTATTAATCATACAGGCGGTGTTTTTCTTCGCCGCTGGCTTGGGTTGCCTTTTAAATTATTCTCTATTCTTATGTACTACCGTCAATTCGGCATTAACCACAAGGTCAGTTTGACTCATTCTTTCAAGTTGTAATACGAATAAATGTGTGATTTTAGCTCATATTGACACGACGAAGTATCGTCACTTATTTAGATACTGACTGAAAAACTGATTTTTATTTTGAATTTTTTTATATAAATACCAGCATTGTTGGAGTAATAAAGGGACTAGTAACAACTATTATAGGTTTTTTTACTTTTGGTGGAGTACCTGCAACAACCTTTACTGTTGCTGGAGTTTCAATAAATATGATTGGCGCAATACTATATACATACGCAAAATATAAGGACAAGCTCACAAGTAATAAAGTGTGAAAGCAAAAACGTGATTATAAAATACGAAATACTAAAATTTTTATAAATGCCATGTTACACGTACTTAGTTTTATCTGTACGCTTGCATGACCTTTTAAATGCTTACTCATGTATAGCAACTACTGTCCTGTTTGCTGACATGTATTGATATTAGTTTTAATTACAACTATGCAGTACTTAATGAAAAGCGTACTGCTTATCTGATTAGGGTATTTAACTCCTGTAATTGTGCTTCATTCAAGCAAAAAGTCATATTATCGATTCGCTTATTTATTTTTTATTTCTATGTTTTATGTCTAATACAAGTGTTACCCAATTTTATTATTAGTAAAAATTATTTACGGTACTATAAAATGGCGGGAATTTGACGTATGCTGGTAATTTCAATAATGTTCAACTGGATTGCATTGTTATGCTTTATGCAACAGGTATTACATCAAGCAGTTATGTTGTTCGTGATATGAGAAAACAAATAAAATTTGTTATATGATTATAACAATCTTAGTCATACGCTTTTCAGCATCTGTGTTAACCTAACTTATGAGTGGTAAAATTAATACCACGCGCATCATCTATATCTATAGTACAAACAGAGCGTCACTATATGTACAGTATTTATTCATAAGAACCCTAAGATATTGTAAACAAATGTGTATTACAAATACCATTTTGTATTTGCAATTACAATTATATTACAAATAACCTCGGTTAAAGATTAGTAAAACACTTCTCCCATTCCATTGATAATATAAACCATCGTTTGCTCCTAACAAGTTTCATTAAAAATAACATCTTCCTTGAAATGTAACATTACAATACCCTCTCTCATGTCAAATAGCCGTTTGTCCTTCATTCAGCTTCGTCAGTTTCAGAGAAATTAGAGTTATCATTATCTGGATCTTGTTCTAGAACCGCATCTAAAACTCCAATTCCATTATCATTGGCACCGTTGTCATTACGTTCATTTAAATATTGGCGGTTAATTTCTTCTTTAATGGCATTATTTTGTCCTTTAGGATCCAGATGAGATGCTTCAGAGTAATTCATGAACGCTAAATGAGGCTGATTCAATTTATCATAAATCTACCAAGAGTGTAAAAATGGAGAAAAAATTTTAATAAAAAATTTGATGGATATAATTTTACAACATTTATATCGAACATTATTCAAAACTGATGATATTCATTAGCTACCTTTCCAATCATATAATAAACAAGGGACTCTCTAGAAGCTGTTTTCTTTAACTTTTCTAATCCGGATAAGGCTTTCTACAATAATTTAACAACTGGCTCAATCGTAGTTAATACACCACCTTAAATCTAATCAAATACGCACCTCGTATTCACCAATAGCGTATAGCATTGCAGCATGATGATATTGACATAAAATATTGTTAGGATCAAGTTTTATAGCACTTTCCATAGTTGTTAAGGCTTCATCGCTTCGGTTTTGAGCATGTTGTGCCTATAGTTGTTTCAATACTTTGTTATCTGTATAACGAAGTGCTATTCAGACGCAAATCACTAATTACTTACCAAGCCAATATGACATAATAATATAGAGCTACTAGGATTTATCGCGAATGCCTGCTTAAAACGAACTTCAGCCCAATCAAATTTCTCTTGTTTATAGTATATCATTCCCATACCATACCTATTTCGATAACAATACAATCGGTAAGTGGCAAATCAAAAGCCTGCATATTGTATTGCAATGTTCATTTAAGCTAAGCTATTTCATATACCAAGCATGATAGTGTCTACTATCGGCATATACAGCATCTTTAAATAACTTTTGTGATTTGTCAAGCTCTCCTATAAGGCTATACTCATGTCCTAACAATGTATAGGCATACGCGAAACTAGGATCCACCTGTATCGATAAATAATTTGATTGGATTAGTTGAAATATAAACTATTTTTAAATGTGCTTTTTTAATTTAGTTTCATATCGCCATCATTACCTGCAGTGCACGTTGAAAAAATTTAATTGCATCATCATGTTCCTTTTGCAAGCTGAAACAATTTCCAGCGACACACCATGTCTAAATTTAATAAATATTTAATAATTAATAATTATTTGGTTTTGATACGAGATAAAACATATCGCCACGATTTATATAATTTTCTTACAGAGTATAGCATTGATTCTGAAATCAGTAAACATTTACCTGTGGACATTGACGGGATATGTCAATCATCTCATGCGTAAGATAAGCTAGATCAGATTCTTTATGCAGATGCCAAAGAGTCGTAGAATAAATATCCATATCTATTAAGAATATAGATAAAAAGGTTAAATATCGTTCAGATAATTTTAGCATCAAGTAGTAATGAAAGGTTACCTTCAACTTTGTAAGGGTCTAACTTTCGCACATTAGCAAATACTGCCGCCGCCTACATAGTGATGTAAATATATAAGAGTACGATTGAATATTATCATACGACACTATATACACCCTCGAATAGCTACTGTACTACTCCTGCTAAAAGCTTCTTCACATTCTAGTATTCTAACCTTTCTGAACTGACAGCTTTCATAAAAGGCCTTGCCAACTTGACACAAAATCCAAGATGTATTGTAGTGGTGATATGACAGGGAATTAAAGAACTTAATACTTTGTTTACATTTGAAAGAACACAGCGCCATATAAGCTTTAGCAATATCGTAGAGCAACGTCATGAGTTCATCTATAATTATGGTATAATACAAAATGATATATTAACATGAAAGCTTCAATGTGGCATCTCATGCATGAAATCTGATATTTTAAGGTGTATTAAAAAAGTACCTGTTGATCCAGCATTACAAACTAAAGCACGATTACTGCGTAGTTGACGTTTATCATGTCGTGTGGTTTCTTGGCCAGGAGTTAATAAAGGAGTTCGAGTGTCTTCTATATTTTTTCCACGAGCCATCTAACGGAAGCAATACACAGATATATTATAATCAGAAATTATCCATTAAAGAAATAATAATAATGAAAGAAACTAATACAACAATTATTTAGATAGCTATTAAATTATTGCCTAAATGCAATCATAACCATAATAGCATTCTTTAAGACAAGAAAAAGGACCGACCTTATTATACTTCTTCGTAACAGAGGTAGAATTAAGCTTGCACTTTGTTCTCATAATACCCTATAAATATGAGATGTGTAATATCAGCCCTGTCTTATTGTTTGTAAGGGTATCGTATTGTGGCTAAACACTTACCACTGTTATAATAGCAGTAAAATTGCGTAATAAAACTATTCATCGTACTGTAAGTATGTAATATATATATATTTTTTATAGTCAACAAAATATTTCATACCTTAGTTTTTAGCCCAACTTTAGAAGATGCGTTATATAATCTCGTACTCCGCCTAAGCACTGGTCGAGCAGCAGTTGAATTATCCAATCTATCTTTCTTATTACTGGTTGGTGACGGTGTTTCAATAAAACTGCTAGTGACAATATTCATAGGTCCCAAACGTTGGCTTTCAGAACATGCTATGATATTGGAAGACTCCGACGTTACCTTTTGACGGTGATTTCCATTATCATAGGTTCCCTATAGTAGCAGTCGAACAATTGAATTATAGTTTGAATTTATTGGAATAAATTTCTAGAAAGCGTAATAAATAAATTGTCTATTAAAAGTAATACCTTTCTAGGAGCTCTAGGTTCAGATTGCATTCTGGCCTGAGTTCGAATCTGAGTGCCATCAGAACCGCGAACCGATGATGGAGTGGTAAACATCTTTTTACTTTCATTAGTAGAAGCATCTATTGGGTGTACTCCAATACTATAGTTTTATAGGAAATTACTCGTGTTTTATTTACATGCACACATTCTTATTAAAAAATGACGAGTCTATAACTGTAATGATTACTTGTTGAAAATGCAGATTAAGAAAACTATATAATGGCAATTTACATACGAACCTGGAGGTAACCGAATTAATAGACGACGTACCCAGCAGATTTCGTCCCACTTTCTGTTGTGTGGGGCCCACAAATATTGATTCGTTATGATTTGATAATACACTAATATTACCCGGAGTATTAATGCCCGACTTTGGGGTACTAACGTCATCAAAATTAATACCAGCTGGAGTTGATTCTATGTAAGAATGATCAAATATATTTAGAAAATCATTTACATGAGATATCTTTGATTATCTATACCTTTACTGCACATTTCGACACCTGCGATCGGTGTCTGGTGATTAGTAGGTAAATTTTCTTTGCAAGCTCTCTGAAAGAAGTCCGCCGGATCTGCATTTACACCTATAAAATAAATGAACCAGCTAAGTTGAACATAAAGAATTTACGTTTTCCTACGGGCTTTACTTGATACAACTGATTCAGTATCGAAATCTAATTCTAGAGAAAAATTATGCAGGCTTTGTATCAAGCTAAGAGTTTGAACAGAAAGTGAAATGTCGACCCTAAATCCTTCAAAAAGTATCCTTAGGTACTGATTCTTTCAATATATAATAAAATACCGCCCGATTATATGACGACTAGTGGTAAAAATATAGAAAGATTAACAAACTATACCTAATTTGCAAAGAGATTCAAATGATGACCATATGAAAGGATTGCACGAGAGACTGGCACGATAGAATTCTATAGCTTTGGTACTTCTATTAGTTTTCCTGTATGGCGATAAAGCAGCAATCAACGTGTTGAGTAAAACATTGGAATGATCTATTTTCGTGCATAGCTACGCTAATTACCATATGTATTTCGCGTCGCTAAACAACCACAACTTGCTAACTGCTAATAACAAAGTACAATTTAGGAGCAATGCTAACCTGTAAATATCACCTAGTAAACCTAAGGCATAGCCAGCATGCGAGCCAAAGCAATGTTGTACATCATCAACGGAAGGGCAATCAATGAAAGACTGACAGTTGCCTAAAATATGTTCCGCTTTGGGATAGCTATTAGAAATAGATCGCAATCATGTTACATGCGTTATCAAATGGAAATTTTTTGAAAATGTTAAAACCAGTCATAATGAACTTATATAGTATCACTGAACTCGTAATAATCAGTTGTAGTTGTTGTCTAGCAATACTGATGTAATTGGGGATAAAAATTATTAAAGCTATATGTAACTGTACAACCGACAAGGACTTAACTTGGCGTCAACAAGTGAATTCACGCCTTTCAAGTTCCACTTAAGACATTAATAAAACTGTCGTCATGCTATGCAGTTCTTAATTTACGTTAACAAGGTTCTAAATTTAAAGCAACGCATCTATACATGATACTGTGGTTAACACTTACTTTTCCAGTTTGAAGTAACATGATGCTAATAGATAACGAGATTTGGCACTTTTGCAATGATGAGTAGTTAGTAGCCAACGAGCCCGCTGATATTGTTGCGCTTTATAATAACAATCAGCCAGTATAAATGCTGTTTCGTCTGAATTGGCTATCAATAAATGATAACAACGATAAGTTGTAACGTTTATTTTTGTATCCACTTTTAGCTTTTACTTGCTGAAAGCTTAAGTGATTGATTGCCATTTAACAATATATTGCACTGTTCAGTATTCTATCTATAATAATATTCTGTATCATGATGCTCGTATAATTTGGAGTTTTTAAATTGTTTAGCCAATAAAACGATCACAACCAGCGCATTGCAAATTTGCAATCAAGCTAGTAGAATAGATCTTAGGGTAGGACACTTTATCCGAATTATCATCATTTCAAATTCAGTACAGGATTATTACTGTTGGTATAATTTTACAAGCAATGACTGTTAAGAGTAAACATTACAGACTATTCAGTGCAATGATTGAATCTGATCGCATTGTACTTGGCATTAGTGAAAACTTGAAGTTAGATGCATTACTGAGCATCATCGTTCACGGATACTTCAATCGTATAGTCAATGACGCAGGAAATGTCTATAACAAACCTTCAGCTAAAAGTCTCTCTGCTAAAAAGATTGCATCGGCGTAGTGATAGTGTTCTAATGAGTGCGAAACAGCAGCCTATGGATAAAAATGAAGGCAGTATTAATTGTATTATTGTTTGTAAGTCAAAATATCTTTATCGGTCAGTAATCTATCCTTATAATGTACTTTACACTATACGTTGGATAATGTAGCAAAATTTTAACAATTTTTCACTGCTATGTAATGCTGCAGTTTGGAGTATTGCAGATAGAAATAGTTACTTGCAGTTCAATCGTACTATAGATAGATCGGGCATTTGTCTATCTCCTCATTCGGTTGTACAAAGCCTACAAGTTCATTGATAGTTGATTTTCTGTACAAGAGTATATCTTATTATCTACGTTATTCTTCTGTTACCATCAATACTTTTAGCATGCAGAAAATGGATACACGTACTGATGACTTGTAGAAATAGGCATGCAAAACTTAAGAAGAATGATGGCAACATTCCAAAATAGAATGGCTACATTTTTATCCGTTGTCGTCGTCGGCAAGACGAGCCGAGCCCTATATCCATGCAGTAGTTGTAAACAGCGTTGCTGCTGCTATCAAATCCATTGTTTCAATACTTAGGATAAAGCTGTCAAATTATAAATTTTCTATCATTAAGGAGACAAATCCAACTTTAAAATACCTTTAAAGTCTCGTAGCAAGTCATGGGAGATAGACCAAGCTGGAAGAGTAGGTACCTAGTCAATGCGTTAGGCAAAAAGTTGCTTTGAATCGATCTTGACAAATGATTGTGCCAACAACTCGTCGTACTTACGCTTAAAAGAGAATCCAATCAACAATTTCCTATTGAAAATTTCTTCAAGAGTAAAGATGGATAATGCCACAAGCAGTCTCCAAATGAAAATTAAGCACTAAGTTGGCAATAAACAAGGATTAAAAGAGGAAATTATTTAGGTTGTAAGAAGAAGAGCAGTTTTGAGTTGGCAAAAGCTGCATAGAAAAATGGACAGTGAAGAGTGCGCCTCATACAAAACGGGTGAAGTCAGTGAGTCAATACAAACGCTTCAACCAACTTCAATGACTGAGTTTGAGTGTTGAGGTGACTGGTCGGTCAATGACCACAATTCAAGTAAACCCTGTTTAAGGCAGGAGTGCGTGAAATATCAATTTGACCAAGGTAACCCACTTTCTTTTCCTTTCCTATCAGATCTGGTGGTAGAATGAAAGAATAAAAACAGTTTGGTTGGTTGATCGCTGTAGCAATTTTTTTTTGAATTCGTCGACGCTTGCGCATTCAATAACGGATTTTATAGCAGTCGCAGTCTGTCTGTCTCATAGAACAGTGTACAGTGTACAGTACTGTATTGCAGACTGTACACTGTACACGGTGTGTTACTGCAGTACAGTTCAGTATGGAATTCACTCATTTTGTGGAGACAATCGACTGTACACTGTACAGTATGCTTGGTCAGGACATGTTCGAGTCCATGACATGCTACAGTATGCGCTAGCCAATCCAAGATGTTGCCATTCATCCAATGGCAACATTTGTATCTTTACATCAGTTGTCGAGTTGGCACATGCTTGAAATGAAGAATAATTTAATATATACGATAATTTAAACAAGTGAGAATGTAATACAGCTGCAGCTAACATGTCCATTGGTCATTCTCTGAACCATAGAGGTAAAAAGACCGGCGAGATGTAAATGCTAAACTAGATCGTATCAACCTACTAGACTCGAGAGAGCATAATAGTCGACAATT